CTGTAAGACAATCTAAGCTTCAGATGATACAAACTGAGTTTGAAAACCTGAAAATGGAAGAGGAAGAAAACATCACCCAATTCAGTGCCAGAGTTTTAAGCATATCTGGAGATGCATTCAACCTAGGCGAACCTATACCCGAACATAGGATCGTCAAAAAGGTACTACGTTCACTAACTGGGAGATTCTAAATGAAGGTCACCGCTATCCAAGAAAATAAAGATCTTAACACGTACAAACTTAGTGACCTAATAGGAAATCTTCAAACCTATGAACTTGAGATATTACAAAGCCAGAAAAACAATGGTAAAGGAATAGCACTACAATCCAGACAAGAAGAGAACTCAGAAACTGATTCAGAAACCTTGGAGCAGTCAATCGCCCTATTAACAAAGAATTTTAACCGAGTTCTCAAAAAGTTTAACAAGTCCAGGAATAAAAATTTTCCAAACAGCCAAGGAAATTCTACGAATCAAAAAACATCCAATCCAAGGAGAAGAGATAATACAATTACGGAAGGAATACAGTGCTATGAGTGCAAAGGCTTTGGACACATTCAATCAGAATGCGCCACATACTTGAAAAGGAAGAATAAAACATATATAACAACTCTGAGCGATGACTCAGATAGTGAAGAAGATGACAGCAACACAAACTTTGTGGCCTTCACTGCCAGTCATGAAGACAACAACAGTGATGACATGCAAGAATTACTAGAAGCATACACTCAATTAAATGTCAAGTGGGAACAGATCATCAAGAAAAACTTAGAGCTCATGGAAGATAATCATTATTTGAAAAATGAAAAGGAACGAATAAAAAAGCAATACGAGGAAACTCAACACGAACTGTTAGATGCAAAAACCAGAGAAGCTAAACTACTACAGGAAATTAAGGAGCTTACCGAAAGACCCAGGACTCCAAACACGGACACCAGTGAGAATAACCAACCTGAAATACAGGAAGTGTCGCAACAGCACTTCCGACATCGAAGAAGAATAAGGTGCTACTATTGTCACAAACTAGGACACATCAAAGCACATTGCTACAAGAGACAAAATGACTATTACTACAGACAAAACAACAGAGCATGGCCACCACACAACAGAAATAATAGCAAGAAAGTCTGGGTAAGAAAAGACCAAAATGTTGCATACACCTCCAAAACAAATAAAGAGCATGATATATGGTATTTTGATAGCGGATGTTCAAGGCATATGACTGGAAATCCAGAGAATTTAGAGAACATACACTATAAGGATGAAGGATATGTTACCTTTGGAGATGGAGGAAAAGGAAAAATTGTTGCAAATGGAACTCTGAGTGTGCATGGACTGCCAAAACTGTCAAAAGTATTCCTAGTACAAGGGCTAAAAGCAAACTTGATTAGTATAAGTCAACTATGTGAAGATGAACTTAAAGTGGAATTCACAAAAAATAGTTGCAACGTTCTTAATCAGAATCATGAATGTGTTATGGTCGGAAGAAAATCCACGAATAAATGCTACACATGGGACGGTGATCTATCTTGTCTACAGACAACCGTCAATCAAACACAATTATGGCACCAATGGATGGGTCACATAAACTTTCATGACATGAAAAAGGGTTTGAAGAAGGGAGCCTATCGAGGAGTTCCAACACTTGACATTGATGAAAACAAAAAATGTGATGCATGCCTTGAGAACAAAATAACCCGAACAGTTCATAAGAAGACCGCAGGAATACACACTTCTAGAATCCTAGAACTACTTCACATGGACTTGTTTGGACCAACTCAGACAGAAAGCATAGGGGGAAAGAGATATGTCTATGTAACAGTTGATGACTACTCAAGATTCACATGGGTAAACTTTCTTAGAGAAAAATCTGAAGCATTTGCAACATTCAAAACCCTCATTATCAAAATTCAGAATGAAAAAGAGGGAAGAATAGGAAAAATTATTCGCCTAAGAAGTGATCATGGAAGAGAGTTCGAGAATTCAAAATTCAAAGAATACTGCACAGAAAATAGAATTCATCATGAGTTCTCCGCACCAAAAACACCCCAACAAAATGGGGTAGTTGAACGAAAGAATCGAACCATCCAAGAAATGGCAAGAGTCCTCTTAAATCACAAAAGACTTCCATCAAAATTCTGGGCAGAAGCAGTTAACACAGCATGCTACTTGATAAACCGAGTATTCATTCGAAAAGAAATCAACATGACACCATATCAAATCTGGAAAGGAAGAACACCAAATTTAAAACACACACATGTGTTTGGAAGCAAATGCTATATTCTAAAAGATAGAGGACCATTGGGAAAGTTTGATATCAAAGGAGATGAAGGGATCTTCCTAGGATACTCCTCAAACAGCCGGGCATATCGAGTATATAACCTTAGGACAAACACTGTCATGGAATCTATCAATGTTGTGGTCAATGACACAACAGAAGATTTCCCCAAAAATGATGAAGAGATAACTGGTGTTGAAACAGCAGTTCCAACTTCACACAACCAGAAATCAGAACCAGAAACATTAGAAAAAGAAGCTGTAGATCTTGAAGAAAAAGAAGAAATCCACACCGCTGATGAAACCAGGGTACAGAAAAATCATCCAATAGAGAACATCATAGGAGGACTAAATGAAGGAATCAGGACTAGAGGAAAGAAACGAGACTATCAAAAAATAGAAGAAGGAGACTATGACTACTGCTACACCTCAAAAACTGAACCCAAAAACATCACGAAAGCCCTAAAAGATGAATTTTGGGTAGAAGCCATGCAAGAAGAATTACAGCAATTCGAGAGACACAATGTCTGGGAGTTAGTCCCTAAACCGGAACATGTCAATATCATAGGGACAAAATGGATTTACAAAAATAAAACGGATGAGCAAGGAAACATCATACGTAACAAAGCCCGACTAGTAGCTCAAGGATACACTCAAGTAGAAGGAACAGACTTCGAGGAAACATTCGCCCCAGTAGCCAGAATTGAATCAATCCGGCTACTCATAGCAATAGCTTGCATACTCAAGATAAAACTCTACCAAATGGATGTGAAAACTGCATTTCTGAATGGATATCTAAAAGAAGAGGTCTATGTTGCTCAACCAAAAGGATTTGAAGACCCCCATTTTCCACAAAGAGTTTTTAAACTTAACAAAGCACTATACGGACTAAAACAAGCACCACGGGCTTGGTACGAACGTCGCCTCACTGATTTCCTAGTAAAAAAGGGTTACACAAGAGGCAGCGTGGACAAAACCCCATTCGTCAAACACTATGGTCAAGACATAGTCATTGCCCAAATCTATGTTGATGACATAGTATTTGGCTCAACACTTGAGGTCCACAAAAACCAATTCATCATCAACATGGAAGGAGAATTTGAGATGAGCATGGTTGGGGAACTAACCTACTTTCTTGGTCTACAAATCAGACAACTGGACAATGGAATCTTTATTTCTCAAAGCAAATATGCCAAAAATTTAGTCAAAAAATTTTGTCTAGAAGAAAGCAAAGTTGTCAGAACATCTGTTCCAACAACAGAGAGAATATGAAGGGATACAGAGGAAAAACCGGTTGAACAAACCCTATATCGAAGCATGATAGGAGGGTTACTGTATCTAACCGCTAGCAGACCAGATCTAAGCTTTGCAGTAGGAATTTGTGCAAGATACCAAGCCAATCCAACCGAGCAACATTTAAAAGCGGTCAAAAGAATCATTAAATACGTGAAAGGGACATCTGATCTAGGAATATGGTATTCATTTGACACCAATCATCATCTCTCAGCTTATTGTGATGCTGATTGGGCAGGTAACATAGATGACAGAAAAAGTACGTCAGGAGGATGTTTTTTCCTAGGTACTAATCTAGTATCATGGATCAGCAAGAAACAAAGCTCTATTTCCCTATCAACAGCAGAGGCCGAATATATTGCAGCAGGAAGCTGTTGCACACAACTACTTTGGATGAAACAGATGCTAGAAGACTATGGAATGCAACAATCAACCATGACAATCCACTGTGACAATAAGATCGCAATAGATATTTAAAAAAACCCAGTCTAACACTCAAGGACAAAACACATAGATATCAGACATCACTTCATAAGGGAATTAGTTGAAGATGAAATCATCAGTCTTACTCACATAAGTACCGAAAGACAACTAGCAGATATTTTAACCAAAGCTCTAGATGGGAATAGATACACAAAACTAAGAGCTGAAATGGGCCTGTGTATCCTATAATACTCACCAATTAAAAGAGAAACACATGGGCCCAATCCACAAAACAAGTCCATCAACCCAAAACCGGCCCATGTCTGTACCAGTACACCGCCCCTTCACAAAAGCCCAAACCCGGATCCATACCTCAAAAGCCCCAAATCCAAAACAGAGTCATCATTTTCACCCGATTCCACTCAACTCCCACCTGAGAAATCACCACCCATCCTCAACCTTCATACAATAGTAACCATGGTGAAAACCAGAAATCAGAGAATGGGAAAGTTACCTCGAAGAGGAACAACCAACAGCACCTCAAAACACACCGGCACTGGAGAATCATCGAACCCTGTATGTGTCGAAGAAGAGAGTTCCGCCAACATTGCGATGGATCCTGTTCCGATAGCCAGAGTACCATTCGGAAAACCCCAAGAACAAAGCACCAATCCTCCAGGTAACTCGAATCTCCCACTGATAGATCATGAGGAAACCCCTATACCCATGCCCATTGCGGCTGATTTCGGAGGCAATAGGATCATTGATCCAAATGATATAGAGGTACAACTTCGGTTTGCCATAAACCAAGGTTGGGAACCGGATATGGGGTCCTATGTCAGCTCCGAACAAGAGGACAATCCAAGGGAATCAGAAGTTGAGGGACACACAAATCCTCACAATCACGAAGAAGTACATCCCTCAAGTCCTAACATTGATGAATAAACCGTAATTGGAGAAACCCCCAATCCAATTCCTCGGGTCTCCAAAAACCCTAGAAAGAGGAAAATGCCTGACCCATATGAAGGAGCTGATCCAAGGGCCAAAAGGCCAAGTGACTTCCTAGTACGTGCATGCCCTCCTCAAAGACCACCAAACATCCCACCAAAACCCACTAGAACCAAGAAACCAAGAAATGTCAACACAGAGGATGAACAAAACTGGGTACCAAATGATGAAATTGAGCTCTCTGGCTGTGAGAGAATAAGAACCCGAGCCCAAAAGAAAATCAACCTAGAGAGAAAACAGCCACAAATCACCAAAGTGTCCACCAAAGCAAAGGGAAAACAAAAGGCAACTGCCAAAGAAAAAGGGAAACAGAAAGTAGTTAGCACTGATGATGACCTGTCAAACCTACCCAACCCACACAGTACAACCTTTCTAAGTAAAGAGTCTGGAAAATTATGGAATAGAATTGTGGAGAAAAGGATTATAAACCAAAAAATTCTGGACACAGACAAACTGGACAACTCAGAACAGATCCAAGAAGCCCTCATCACAAACCAACTCCTAGGAACAGTCACCAATATAGAACCTTATGATAAGGAAGTAATCCAGGAATTCTACTGTAACCTAACCAAATCCACCACAATTCCCAGTAGTCCTATGTATGGCAAAATATATGTGAGAGGGAAATTCTATGAGTTCACACCAGACACAATTAACAACTACCTTGGAACATCTGAGATTGAGCAAGAAATTGAAATAAACAGTGAACAAGTAGCCAAGGAACTCACAGCAGGAAATGTTAGATTTGAAAAGAACAAAATCAAAGCAGCTTCTCTGACTAACAAGTATGCAATCCTACAGAAGATAGCCCTTGCAAACTGGATGCCCTCACTTCATGAATCCACAGTAAAATGGACCCTAGCAGAACTGCTATACAAAATAGGAAAAGGAGTGAAGACCAACATGGGTTCAATCATTCATGCACAAATCACAAATCTAGCAGAAGATACCAAATCCAACACCTCCCTAGTCTTTCCAAGCCTCATTTTTTCAATCCTGACAAAACAGGGCCTCAAGACTCAAGGACCCAAGACCACAGTCAAGAACTTCAACACAACTGTCAAACTAAGGAAGGGAAACCACCAAAATGATCTTAAATCCACAGCTCCAAAGAACAACCCACTTGACTCAAAAACACTGATCACTTATTTTGAAGGCAGATTGACAGAATTGGAAGCCTCAGAAAAACAACTACTGAGAAGACACATGATCATCAAGGAAGAAAAAGCTGAAATAACAGAATGGCTGGCAGTACTAAAGGCAGAAATTGAAGATAACCAAGAGCAAGGAACATAAGAAGATATTCAAGAACACTCTCAAGAATCAGAAAATGAAGATAATCAAAGTCAAAACCAAAGATCAGAAGAAGACATCCAAGAAAGAGGTGCTGAAACACCAGTTTCAACACCAGAACCAGGAGAAAGAGAATAACTCATGTTTTTAGCAAAAAAGGGGGAGAAACAGACAGACAACCACCTCATGTTGTGATTGTGTATTGTCTACTGATAGGCAGACTTCTTTTTGCTGTTCCCTCTTTTGTGCACCAAAAGAATGATAGACAAGCAGAACAAGACCACCTTTTGCTTTCTTTTTCTGTGCTTACTGGCAGACTCAACTAGAAGAATCAAACAACATGCAAATTTTTTTTCAAAAAGTCAGACATAAGTACCAGGCAAATTCTCTTTTAAAAGAGTCAAATGATCACCCACATTTACTACCGCAAATTAAGGGGGGAGATCCACTGATCAAGGGGGAGACACCTCCACGTGTCAACTCTAGATTAATAAACAAAAGGGGATCAATGTTTTTGCTAAAATTTGACAAAGGGGGAGAATGTTGACATAAGACATATTGTCAAATTCTAGTCAAACAAGGAATTCTTAATCAAACAAGACTTAGGAATTATATTCCTAATCTAAAGAGGATTGACAATCCTAATCCTATCTATACCTCGTCTCTTGACCTATAAAAGGAGCCTCTCCACAACTCATCAATCACGCTTTCAACACCTAACTGTGAGCACGAGAGTCCTTGAGAAGAGATACCCAAACCCCCTTGAAAAGTAGTACAAGTGTTTAGGTCACAATAGTTTGATAGGATCTTATATTGTGTAATCCCCGTTCCCTAAACTAAGTGTACTTTAAATATCGTGCTTTTAGTGGATTTAGGCAAATTCTCAATTCGAGAAGTGCCTCGCAGTTGAGGGTTGTTTGCCCAAACTGCGTTATAAATTAATTGTGTCACAACGTCTGTTTCAACGCCACAGAATCCATCATCTATATTAATTTCACTAACCTACAAAACCTATAAATTAGACTAATTGAATGAAATTTGTTAGTTTAGTGGCCTAATTGTTGTTTTTTAAGGTTCAGTGGCCTAATTGCATTATTATGTGCAGTTCAATGACCTATTTGACCCTTATTCCCCAAAAATATTACTTGTTTGAAGAATTGTAAGTATTTTCTATTGTAAAAAATATGTACATGGCAAATTTTCGAATGATTGCTGCAAGTTTTTTCCATGATCTTATATATGTATATGAGAATATGGTCTACAAATAAAAAGTAAAGGCTAATCATAGTTGTTCATCATATATTCATTAATGGTAGAATGTTTTAGTAAAAAAATATAGTATCGTTTTTATAACTATTGTAAACTTATAAGATTGTAATATTTATAAAAGAAAAATTACACTTTTCGTCTTAAAGTTATAGGGTAATAGTATGATTCGTTTCTACTTGTTGGTTGTGCTCACTTCTCGTCCCTAAGTTATAATTAATGTTATTAATTTTGTCCTTTCCTAATAGGTTGTGCCCACTTTTTATCCTCAAGATATAAATGTTGTTGCAAATTTCATCCCTAAAGTTTTGTTAGAAAAAATGGTGAAATTTGCAACATCAATTATAATTTAAGGACGAAAAGTGCACACATAGGGATGTCAATTCAACCTAGGGATGGCAATGTGCCCCGTCCCCGATGGGGATCCCCGATCCCCGCCCCGATTGAGATGGGGATGGGGAAAATTTTCGGGGAACGGGGACGGGGACGGGGATACCCGTCCCCGCCCCGCCCCGTCCCGTCCCCGAATATATAAATAAATAAATTATATATATATATATATATATATATATATATATATATATATATATATATATATATATATATATATATTTATATATTTATTTATTTATATGTATATTTAAATACTGGCAGTATACTATTTATATATGTACGTAATGAGATATATACATATTATTAATGTTGTCATTGTATATTGTATATATAAGTGCCAGTAACGCACTATACTATATATACAGGCAATACATACATACATACATATATATATATATATATATATATATATATATATATATAGTATTTTAATTTTTGAAATTAGGATTTAGATTTTTAATTTTTAAATATTAAAAATTACAATTATTTAACATTTTGACTAGGAATTGACGGGGAATGGGGAATTCCCGTCCCCGCTTAATTCCCCGCGGGGACGGGGATGGAGAATATTTTCCATTCCCCGTGGGGAACGGGGACGGGGACGGGGTCGCGGGGACTCCCCGCCCCCGCCCCGCCACATTGCCATCCCTAATTCAACCCGACCTGGATGGAGAAACTCAGTCTCCGCTCCAACGGGAGCGGGGACGGGAGTTGTACCCCGCCTCAAACCCCTATATATATATATATATATATATATATATATATATATATATATATATATATATATCTAAAAACATAATAATTTAAAAACATAATAAGTGTCAATACAAGTTATGTCCTTGATTTTTGTCCCTTTTTTATATGCTAATAAATATATACATTTTGCTTTAATTGTTGTACATTCATTTGCATTGGACAAAATCACCCTTACACCGTTAGTTTTTAATATATCTATCAATCTTACCATACACCTACATCTATCATATCTTTTTCCTATTTTTAATTATCATTTTATTAAAATTATCATATAACAATTAATTTAATTATAAATTATATTTTAATTAAATATTTATATGAATGTTAAATTTTATATATATATATATATATATATATATATATATATATATATATATATATATATATATATATATATAATGTATGTATATTATTTGTGTATCCAATATCAATATATCATATATGCGAGTGTTAGCTTAGTATTATTTGTAAATTATTATTATATAAAAATATAATTTTTTTTTTGTTTTGATCACTATATTATTCAAATATATGATAATTCAAAAGTATCATCACTTTAAGAAATTGCAAAACATAATTTTAATTAATTTTTTAAATTTTGTTACTTACAAATATTTTAATATTGGGCATAAGTTTTCGCGCGTACAAAATGCTAGTATATATATATATATATATATATATATATATATATATATATAGGGAAAGGGTTCAGGTGCGGGGATAGCTTTCCGTGTGATTGGACGCACCTTAATCATTAACATAACACACTAAATCGTGTTTGCACACATTTAATCTAATCTAGACCATTAAAAAATATTAGATCGATGCACATGATGTGTTCTCATATTCTCACCCCTTATTCCCTCTCCATAACACTTCAAGCCTTCTAAAATAGATTGGAGTATAAAAGGGTAGAAAAGATAGGTTAGCCAAGCAATGTGGGACAACTAGATAAAGACAAACACAATAAATGTCTTTGCCTTTAAATGTTTCCCACCAATAATCACACTAAATTTACAAAGAAAAGTATTAATTATCTCCCCAAAAATAATATACTCTCAAATAAAAATGACTTGCTTACTAGAGATGACAAGACTTTGGACCTCCTCTATAGAGGACTAGATGAGGACCGGACCGGTCCTTACTCCTTAATACGAAAGCCAAGCTTCAAGCTTGGGTCCAATCTAGAAAATTTTGGACTTAAAAGACTTTTTTTGGGGTGGGGTGGAGGGGGATGAGCGGTGAGGGATTGTTATGTGGACTGAAAAGTGTGCAACTGTAAACTAATTGTGTTAGGTTCTATTACTGTTATTAGACCTTCTAGCAGCAATTATACCGTGAACAGTGATCCACAAAGTTTCGTGGACCATGATCCAAAACGATAGTGTATTTGAATTGACACTGTCTTACGTATTATTTTTAATATATTATCAAATAAAATTGTAGTTGTGTTGAAATGAAACTGCAATGTATACAAAATGAAATTGAATAATAATTTCACATATTTGAGTGTATATTGTCCAGCGAAACTATAGTTATATCAAAATAATTGTGTAGTTTTGTTAAATAAAACTGCAGTGCATATTTGATGCTTATACCACAATACATTGTGGCAATAGTTATGCTGTGCAACCGAATGCACCATGCGCATGGTGCATACGATGCAAAACGACGTCGTTTTGACTAAAAACGCGCGTCCCACTTAAAAAAAAAAAAAAATTCAGGTTCGATTCTCGGCAATAGCATTATTGTGGATATATAGTTATGAATTTCTGGATATATAATTATGAATTTATGGATATTTAGTTCATTCATTGTAGATATTTACTTCATTCATTCACTGTGGATATATAGTTATGAATTTCTGGATATATAGTGATGAATTTGTGGATATTTAGTTCATTCATTGTGGATATTTAGTTCATTCATTGTGGATTTTTACTTCATTCATTCACTGTGGATATATAGTTGTAGATTTTTACTTCATTCATTCACTGTGGATATATAGTTATGAATATGTGGATATATAGTTATGAATTTATAGATATATAAAAATGTTATTGTCGGGAATCAAACTTGATTTCTTCTTTAAGTGAGACGCATATTTTTTTTTAACTAAAACGACGTCGTTTTGGATCGAATGCACCATGCGCATGGTGCATTCGGTTTCACGGCATAATTTGCGACATTGTGGACTGCGGTCCAGTATAATTTGCCTCCTTTCAGTGGGTGGGCCCATATTACAAAGTTTAATTGGGATGGATTCCCTAGAACCTTCCAAAGCCCAAAGCGAAAGCTCAACTTAATTGACAAATTATATCGGGGCAAATTATGCCCTGGAAACGTGTTCACCGAGAATGGTGAACACAGTACACTAAAAGTGAACCTGCAATATATTAAAAATAAACATATATTAATGATTCATTTTGATATGCGGACTCTGGTCCACGGTATAAGCATTGAATTAATTGGAAATTTATATTATGGATCAGGGTCCACATAGCACCATGGACCTTGAATTGAAACGACGAGATACATAATTTATGGTAAATTATATCATGTACCAGGGTGCACAATGCATTGTGCGT